CCCCCTCCCCTTTCTCACCTTCTTCATCAGAAACCCCTTTCTTTCTTGCTCTCTTTACTGTGTTCGGTTGAGATGAGAGCATCTGTCTCTCTCTCTCTCTTTTTGGTGTTCAGCTTCATCTACAGTAATCACGTCCCTCCTTTCTCACATTCTTCATTAGAAACCCCTTTCTCTCAATCTTCATTTTGATCATCACCATCGCTTGACGCGATCGCCAAAAACAGTTCTCTTTCTTTCTCTCTCTCTCTCTCTCTCAACTGCGGCGAAGCACCAAAGAGGTTAGAGAAACTTTGTCACTCTTTACTATGAACTGCTCAAGTCTCTCCCTCTCTCTCTCTCTCTCTCTCGATATATAATATACATATATGAATATATATATATATATGTTGCTGTTGAATGGCTATTGTTGTGGTTTGTCTGATCTTTGCTTTTTCTTTGTAGTTTCCAATGAGGTGTCGGAGGAGCTGGTGGTTTCGATGAACTCTGGACTTCTTTACGAAAAGCTATTGATTGAGAGACACATATCCGTATGTTTGCTTCCTCCTTTCTTGATTATAGGGTTTCAAGTTTTTTCTGTTTGTTTACTGAGAAAATGGTATTGAGTATACAAAATTGAAAATTTTGGATAGTAAAGGTTTTTATTATTTGGTACTTAAGAAATTTTAAGCAAGAAAGAAAGAGAAAAAAAAAATAGAGAAGAAGATTCTATGTGGAACTGAAATCCAATTCTATTTTTTTAACTAAATTTGGAACAAAAAAACTGTTGATATTTGATGATGTGGCATGTTTGGCACCTTCTATTCAACCTGCCAAAATTGATAACGGAAATAATTATCTTTGGCAAGAAGAATAACAGATTATTCGAGCCCTTTTTTTTCTTTTTCTTTTTTTCAGTCTTATTGCATTATAGTTTTGACAACTCTTTGACAACCGATTGAAGATGTTCTAGCGGAAAGCTTGTCATCAGAGCCTTACCCACCAACTTCTCTCTTTAATGCTTGCACACTGGGGACACCCGCACATGTTAGTCCCACAAGGGCCAACTCACAATCAACCTAATTTATATATTTAAAAAAATAAATAAATAAAAATTCTGGGTCTAAGATTTTCTATGATTTCATGCTCCAAAATCTCACATGTGCCAAATGGATTCAGTATGTTTGGTTTGAATTGATTCAACTGATTCAATATTTAAGATCCTCCTTTTTGGACTGCTTTATGAAAAGAAAACCACATTATGCATATTGTACAAAACAATAAGTCAACCAAAAATATGTTACATATAAGGTGCATGAAAGTTTACCAAAAACAAAATAAATAAGATAGATTTTTAACTATAGGTTCCATATATGAGACTTATAGACTATTAAATCCTATTTATTTTCTTCCTACAAGGTTCACTACCACTACTACAAAAATAGTTAAAGATCACACTTTGACAAAAAAAAAGATCTCACTTTTATTGGAAGTGTGATAAAAAAAATTAGATTGATATTTTAATCACACTTAATTTGATTGAGTGTGATAATATTTATTTTTTATGTCACTTTTCAATTAAGTGTGATTATATATATATATTTTTAATCACACCTTCTAATTAAAGTGTGATTATATATACACTACTACTTTTTAATCACACTTTTTAAGTAATACTACAAGAAAAGTGGGCTTATGAGACGGAACTTTTTGCGACGGCACA